AGCAGGAATTAAATTCCTTTAACTTAGGGAAATGTTCCTAAATTTAAAAATAGATTAAAGCTGAGCTACGTGATTATTGGAGTAGTTAAACATCCAAGCAGATGCTTCTTCCAAGTCAGGACTGCGCGATTTGTGTTTTGATGAACTAATTACTGTCGTACATTGGTGGGGTATCTAATTAACAATTAGTTATAGCTTCCTTACTGGTTCAATTAATCAAATTCATGTTGGTGGAACTGAAGAGTAAATTTGATAAAGTGATCAATTTTAATGCCTGAGCGGTTTCAGTAAACAAATTGTTCAGCCTCCTTCCTTTTCTCAGCTTGGCTTTAAGCCTATTGAATGGAGAGGCTCTTCTTGCTGTCCCTCAGGGGTCAAAAAAACCCCTGTGGAAAGTATATATATTTTTAATTATTTTATTATAGACACTGAAGCACAGTTACCTAATTTAGCCTTGTTTTCTTCAAGGGAAAATCCTAAGCCTTACAGTCAGCACGTCAGAGTAGGATCTTAGATATATTGTGAACTTACTGAGTGTTAGGATTCACTTTAGGGATGTTGCTTTGTATGAATGAGCTGCAAGTTTGCCTTATTTAAGGAAATGGGACTCCATTTTTATTTTTTTTTAAATCATGTGTCAAAGTGATTTGTTTGCTGCCCGAGAGGCTTTTGAACACAAGAGGAGGACTCGCTAACACAAGCACAGCTTTGTCATTTTTTCTAACTCATGGTAGCGGTCCCAGTTGGACCAGGACTGGAGTTAACACTTGTGGATGCAGGATAACTCCAGCTTGCTCAAAAAAAAAAACCAAAAAAACCCCACCCCTTGTGCCTTTTGCATAGAGGCAGTTTAGAATGTTCCCATCCGTGTTGTCTTTCAGGTAGTTACAGTGACATAAACTTGATTGTATTGGACATCGTACCTGTCAGAACGAGTGTGTGTTTCTTCCAAATAGCCATCACTGCCCTGTCACGCTGCTTTATCCACATAAAAAAGCACCTTTTTTTTTTCTTTTTGCTCTATAGCCTCACTTTAAAACTGTGCAGAGAAGCCCCCTGGATGGGTACTGAGGATGCATTTAGAGTGGCTTCTGTGGAGTGAGGCTGTTGTGTGGGCTGTAGAATTGTAATAGATGGAACTTGTTTATACAGAATTTCTAAACTGTGTGTGCAACTAAGGGATTAATATTTCATACCCAAAAGCTGATGCTGACTTGCACTTAGGAGAGGAAAGCGGCCACTTCTAGCCCCCCTCGTGCTGTTGTGAGAAAGGGCCTGACCTCAGGTAACCTCCAAGCGCTTCCAGCTAAAAGCTCGGAAGAATAAACACATCTTATGTGCTTGTACACTCGACAGACTCGATCAGGTATTCTATATTTGGTTACGCTTGTGCTGCAAGATTCATTAGTAGAGCACTTTGCAAATACAAAACCTGTTAGCAGTTTGATACAGTCAGAAGCAGCGTGTGGATTTTTCTTCCTCACATATATAGAGTGTATCTAATGACTTGTGATTAATCAGTCTCGCAAGAGCTATGTTTAGTCTCTCAAGCGTTGCTTGTCTGCAGCACAAGATGAACGCAGAATCCTAAATAAGCCTGAAATATTCCAGGCTATAGCACATTTCAGGTGACCTGGGGAAAAAAACAACAGTCCAAGATTATTACTTAGTAAAGGCGGCTCTCTGGGAATGGTGGAGAAGCCATGAGAATCAAGGCAGCCTTTATATCCCTTCCCCTGCCTTCTAGGATCTGGTGTCACCGGGTTTTCTGCTAATACGCAAATCCTTAACATCTGACATTGAATAGTTCAGTTACTAACATGATCTGTTTTTTTTCCTGGAAGCTAAACTGATGTAATTGAAGAATGTGTTATGGCAGTTCTGTTAGCCATTGGCCCTTCTCTAGCTCCAGTCCGCTTAACCTTGACAGTTTCACAACAGATCCAAAGTGTAAACTTCTGTTCTGAAATACAAGTTTTAAGATAGCAAAAGTATCGAAACACTCAAGTTACCATCATGTTATCTAACCCTCACCGGAAGAAAGTGTTTTGGTTTTCGTCTTAAAAATGTAGGGCTAAGTGTGACTTCGGTTTGCTTTTAAATCCTAACATGTTTAAAGACATTCGTACCCAAATTGAGTGAATGATGTTGAAGTCTTTTGAAAGCTGCTCAGTATTAGCTCTCATAGCAACCTAAGCTGCTCTTGTTTTCTGTTCTGTTTCCTCCTTTCCCTCTACAGATTTCAGGAAACCTTACTGTGCCTTGGATTACGGGTTGTTCCAGAAAAAGAGCAGTAAGTACATTTCCATTTAAGTATCTAATGCATCAAGTGAAAGAACGAAAAGTTGGTTAAAATGCATTTTTGAAAATGTCAGTTCTGTTTACATTTTCTGTGGTGGTTTTTCCCCCTTTGTACTTTGACTGGTACAAACGTTATTTGTGAGTACAATGTTTCAGTTAACATTAAGCTGATGTGTTTCTTTAAAAGCAGGTCAAGGTTGTAATCGTGTAGTAAGGTGATGCCCAGGTACAAGAACTGTGCAATTGGCTGAAATCTAACATGTCAGTTGAGTTCAGAGCTCAAGATAGGTTTGTGGGGGTTTTTTTTAATGTTGTAAGTGGAACGGTTGTTAATTGAGGCAAGAGAACGCTTAAGAGAGTAACTCCCGCCTCAGCTACTCTGCACATGCACAGGATTAGTCCCTGCTATTTGTAGTAACTTTGTGGAGTCTAATTTTATCCACATACATGTCATTACAAATTAGGCAGCATCAGCCGGGTTAGTGTCTTCAATTCACAGATGACTCCAAACCATAACACCGAGTCTGAAGCAGCTTTTGCCAGGAAAATCCCTCTGTCCAGCTCTTCTGTTTGATGACTGTTGAGCATTTCCCTTCAAGAGCGGTCTGCTGGCTTCTCTTGGAGGAGCGTGTGGATTCTACTTGCTTGCCATGAAAATAAACCCTAAACCTGCGGGTTGGATGGTACAACTAAGCTTTACAAGAGGCTGGAGAGGGGAGAACAAGTCTGATGATGAGCAATGAGGGACCTGGGGTTGTTCAGCCTAGAGAAGAGGAGGCTGAGGGGAGACCTTCTCACTTTCTGCAGCTCCCTGACAGGAGGATGCAGCGAGGTGGGGTCGGTCTCTTCTCCCACGTAACAAGCCGTAGGACGAGAGAAAGCGGCCTCAGGTTGCGACAGGAGAGGTTTAGGTTGGATGTTAAGAAAAATTTCTTCACTGAAAGAGTGGTGAAGCATCGGAATAGGTTGCCCAGGTTCATCAAATCAAAAGGGCATCTCGGGAGGTGTTCAAAAAACGTGTAGACGTGACACTTCAGGACATGGTTTAGTGGTCGTGGTAGGGTTGGGTTGAGGGTTGGACTTGATGATCTTAGAGTTCTCTTCCAGCCTCTGTGGTTCTGTGATGCTGTCCCCTCCGTCCCAGCACGGGATGGGTTCTTGACATGTGATGGTCCTGCGAAGTGTCTGACTTAAGCTGTAGAACAAATTTCTGCAATGCGTTTAAAACCTTCAAGAATATGAAGGTGCCTGTTTGTTAAGGGTGATTATTAGGGAATTCTTTTTCCTTAGACCTTTACTCCTGTGTCTTTTATCAATCAATAAAATGCACAAACCCCATTGATTAATATAGTCCGATTTGATGGCGTCTGTTTCCAGATTTGTGGATGCACTTTCTGCACTTTGAATGCATAATTAGCCTTCTGAAAGAGACAAGTTTAGGAGTTGACACTCTGAAACTGCTGTATACACACAGGTGTAAGACAACAAAAAGAGAGAAAAAGCTCCTACTTCCTAGGAAACTTCAGTTTCAAATGTGAAATTCTTTTGAAGAAAGAGCGTGAGGGAACAGAAATAGAATGGATAGAGTGGTAGAACTGCGATTACGGCAATTACTGCCATTCAAGCAGTGAAAAGGCTAATCTGTATTTTATTTAAAATGGAGAAGATCGTCTTTTAGATGCTCTGAATTTTTCATCTTTTGCCTTGATGTTTTGTTTCCCTTGCCCTGTCCTTCAACTGCGTCAAGAGAGAAATAAAAACTGTGCAGTGCTGCAGAAACTCTTTCTAGTCTACTCAGCGACGCTGTACGGTGACGTAATCCTGACTGTTAATGAATATTAGGCTAGAAATATCACCCTCTCAGTTATTCATGAGAAAGTCTTTGGAAATCACAGAGTTCTGTGTTCTGTCGTGGTGCGTGTGCAAGGCCTTTAGGAATGCAGAGTTTTGGTTTTTTACAGGGTCGTGGGAAGATAGCAAGGATTCAGAACTAGCAGAGAAGGTACCGGTTGAAGAGAATGAAAAGCGGGAAAATACCTTCACTTTTGTCACCGCATTTAAGACTTGAGCGGACTAACTGTGCTCAAGTGATGTGTGGTCTCATGTCTTAGCAGAATAGTTGGTGTCTAGGGTAGATAGAATTTGGGATGAAAAATGTTTGTCACAGAGGTGTGGGCTCTAGGTAAGCTGTGCCTGGCTGTGCTGTGAAGTTTTATTTTTGGAAGGAGAGCAGGGATTTGATTTTGCTTCTCCCATTTTATTTATTTATTATTATTTCTAATTAAAAGCAGCTCTAATGAATTGTGCTTCAGACTTTATGTAATAACCATTAAGACAGGAGAGTAAGGTTTTAGAATTATTTCCAGGTGGGGGAGATACATCAATGTAACTACTAAAGAAAATATCTCGTTGGGACTGAAGTCTAAAAAGCTTGTGAAAGTTGTGGCTGCCTTTTTGCCATCAACAGCACCTCTTCGCTGCTCGCAGCAGCAGTCCTTCAGTTAATGCAAGGGGAAGGCAAATCTTAGGGTCGTTTCAGACAAAATACATGTTTTTATTATATGATACGCTGCACCAAGGTTCCACAGATCACCTAGGCCTACTGTATGCTGTGATCCCACAAGCTGGAATTACGTTGTGTCTGGCCAGGAACTGGAGGAGCAGACTTCCTTGTGACATATGAGGAAGACATTCGTGGATTAAGTAAGAATCATGATAGTTACTGTCTAAAAATCACTTTACTTTGAGGCCGGGCATTCATCACCTGACAAACTAGCTCAAAATCTCAAGAAGGGCGAGTTGTTGGTTTGTGTGGGTTAGAGGTTGGTTTTGGAAATTGCAGAGTGAGATAACTGGAGTTTAGAGTGTAATATTTTGGCTAGATTATTGCACTGATATAACTTTTCCTTTTTTCTTTTTAGCTACGTTTGGTTTAGAAACACACATTAACAGAATATATGTGATTTTAGCTGGGTGTTGAAGCACTTAAGGCTCTTTTCAAGCTGTGGTACTATGAAATATTTATCAGTTCTGCTTCCATCAGAGCAAACTTCAAGCTTAACCAACCAGTGGGAAAAGATGCAAAAAATCCCTCATGCAGCAACCGAACGGTTTGTGCCCTGGTGGTGTGATAGCAGGAAGAGTTTAAGGGTGTCTTCCGAGGCTGTTGGGCTTGCAGGCCATTTCCAAACACCTTTTTCTCCTGAAGGCTGTGCAGCTTGCTGCTGTATCATCTGCTCTAAATAAAAATCTGGTAGCAGCAGCTTTCTCCCAGTCACTTGCTTTGCCCTTGGGTACCTTTCTTTTTCCTACAAAGGTGGGAGGTGTCTTGTGAGGGGAACTTACCTGCTCGCCTGAGGAGAGAGGAACTGTCAAGACCCAGGGAAAAGCAGTGACTACATCCCAGCTCTCTGAATCCCTCTGCTGGTTATGGCCTTTCAGTTTCATCCGAGGAGAATCCTGCATGACCTGGGGGCTTTTACACCTTTTTACTGTGTAGTAACGTGTGCTGGCCTGCAGAAAGGATGGTTCTCTCAAAGATGTTTCCGTGAGCGACATACACTGTGTCTGAGCGTCAAGAAATAATGAACTGAAGGCTAAAAATAGTGTTAAATGGTGGAGATGGGAAAGGGGGAACTTACATCAAACGGTCGATGCAGAAGTTACTGTTACTACTTACAAATAAGATCTTGAGATAGGAATCCTCTGAAAAAATATCCCTTAGACGTTAAGTAGTCTCAAAGTTCAGAGAATGCTGGCACCATTAGGAGCGGCGAAAAGAGAAAACTAACACTGTACTTGTACAGAAGAGCCCGGGAGTTGTTCCTGCCTTGAACGCTGTGTGCACTTCTGATCTTCCCCTTCCTCCCACGGTGTGACAGAGCGGCAGCGACTAATCAAAGGCCCAGAGCATCCCAACGGGCTCTGGCTCCTCAGACCTCAGAAGAGATGACTGGGAGGGAGTGGAGGAGTGTGGTGGAGAGCTTTAAAGGTATCAAGTGTGGAGAAGCCGACACGGACGGACTCGTTTGTTCCAGTACAGGAGCAGGTGTGGAATCAAACTAGCCTTGGCTTGGCTGAAAAGGAGCTAGGATGTGTTTATTTGGAGAAACTTAAAATAAGAAGTGCCTCTGACATGAGATACTAAGGCTGCTAGAGACTGGTGGAGGTCACTGTTTGTCCTATTTTACTTTTTACTGAACTTTAAAGAACCTTTAAAATGTACAAAAAAATATTACTCGCTGAGATTTCTTGTTGTTTCTCCAGGAGTTTCTGAGCAGTAGTGACTAAAATTAGTTGTGAGAGGTTTGCTTGCTAGAAATAACCTTAGAACATTTCATCGCAGAGCGTCAGAGCTGCGCTGTTGATCTAATGCGATTTCACCGCGATTCAGATAAACATAACTTTTTGTTAGCAGCACACAGTGCTCAGCTGCAGCCTAAATGCAACAGTTATTACGTTTGTATTAAAGCTCGAGTTCTTTCATTTTTAACAGATCTTTTATTAATAAAACCCTGAAGATTGTATATAGCTTTTTGTGCATGTGGCCCGAAACGTTTTCCGCTCATGCACAAAAACTGATCTAAAAAAGCAGCCTCTTAATAAAAGGCAGGATAAGGCCTCTCCACGGCGATGCAATTATTCATACCAATTATAGACACCGGATTTGCACCACAAATATTGCCTGCACAGTGGGTATTATGAGGAGCTCGGCAAAGTGCCAGGAATGTCTATAATAAACTGGGTCATCTCTTATAAGAATGTTGTTATTACACTTGAGAGGTCAGGGGATAAGCAGGGTTTAACCCTGCGCTCGGCAGAACTGCTGATTCAATTTGCTCCCGAGGATTGCTTTTCATTTTGAGCTGATAGTCTATTTTCTGCTGGAAGAAGCTTCTCTCTTGCTTTTCAAACTACAGACAACGGAACCGGTGAATGTAAAGAATTCAGCAAACGGTTAACGCTGCCGGGGATAAAGCTGAGCTTCGAATCAGCAAGCAGGGAATCTGAAGAGAGGAAATGAGAATTGTCCTCATAATAGTTGTTACACTGAAGCGAAAATAAAAGCTGAATTACTGACTTGTCGTCAGCTATGGGAAGTATTGTCCTAAAGATGAAGCTTTTCAATATTATCTTCTGGTATTTTTTCCTATGCTGAGTGATACATAACTGTGAGTGTTATGATATTTATAGGACTTTGGGTTTTTCCCCTCGTTTCCTCAGTTTCTCTGGTGATTTTAAGCATGAGAAATTTATTAACTACATTGGCAGAAGGGTAGTTATGTGTTTGATGTAGAAATTCTACCCTTTATTTTCTCACAAAAGCTTTTGGCTTTTGTAAAAACATGAGGTAATTTTTGAGCAGGCGTCAAACTTGGCTATGGCCTTGTCGAGGAGATGATCCTGCACTTGAGCGTACTTTGTGATTTCCCTGGCATGAAGCTTCCCTAAGGTCTGGTTTCTCTTCATGAAAAGGCATGTGGCACAGTCGGTTGTTACAAAGGTAGGTAGTCTGCATCTGCATTTTGGCCAGGCTGAAGTGTTATTTACATCTTTCTTCTGGGCCACTGGTCAAATTTCAAGTCCAGAAACCTGGTAGATTCTGTCTCCGTGCCACAAGGACCGACCATTCTGCAGACGGTGCGGAGGCTCAGTGGACAAAAAATGGCAAAAATGAGATACAGGCTCCAAAGCAGAAGAGTTAAAGTGAGCTGAGAAGAACTGATTGGAGAACTCGCTGAGTTTGCCAGGGTGGCTTGAGCCGGGCTTCTCCGTGAGCCTGCTCTCCTCAGCCCTGGAGGGCACCTGGCTTCTCGTGCCACCTTCTATTTACGTGCGCTTGGTTTTCCTCTCAGCTCTGTTCCTGCTTTCTGGACTCCCTTATGTGTGTTGTGGGGTTTTTGTTTGTTCTTTCCTATCAGCTGACTGCGAAAACTTGTTCTCCATTTCCTTCTCTGACCTGCGATCGGTGTCAGCGGGACTCGGGCTGCTCTTCTGGGGTGAGTGAAAGCGTGAAGCACCTGGTGTGGCAGTAGCTGCCACAGCAACAAAAAATCAGAATTAGCTCTTGTCCTCCGAAAGGCTAGAGATTTATTTTTGACAAGGAGGCAAAACAAAAACTTTTTTTTCCTCGCTTTCCATCTACAAAAGCCTTCTTTGGAAATGTAGCTAGAGGAGAGTTCCTGTAACTTTAAAACATCTACTTGGAGCTAAACTGTTGAGACTGACTCTACAATCCAGGTCTTGTTACAAAATTCTATAGCGGTTGTGAGGTGAAAAACCACTGAAAAGCAATTTATCTAATCAGACTTTTATTGAAACATTTGTGGTAGGTTATCAGAATTAACATACAGCCACCCAAAATGGAAAAGGTACGGCACTGCTTTTTTTTAAAGTAAAATTTTTGAAGGCCGGATGATTTTGCTAAGTACTACTTTCTCCACTTAAAATCCTTGTATTTAGTAAGTAAAAGCTGAGCAGCCTCTGCCCTCCTCCCGCAGAGCCATCCCTTTGGTAACTCTGTGGTCAGGCCTTGTGTGTCTTAACGTGGGATCCTTTTGCATATTGCGAATATCAAGTGAGCATTCATGGCCTGTGTTCCTTCAGCAGAAGAAGCATTTTCTTAGGTAACTAGAAAATCACGTGGCGAGCAGAAATCTGACCTGCAGCATCAGCTGTCCTGTCTGTGGGTTTTGTTCTAACTCGGCCGTTGGAACAAAGCAGCTGAGAGAAGACACTACCCTTACAGCTGCAATGATATTGGGCAGATTTCTTTTTGCTCCTCTTGTTTCACCTCTCCACTGGGGAGGGGGAATTTCCACAGTGTGTTCTTGGAGCTGGGCATATTGGATAGGAAGGAATTTTGTATTTTCCCGAGAAGTGCAAATAGCAGTAAACTGTCAGAGAGGTGGGTTGTTGCAACCCTCCAGAGCCAACAGCGTACGTTTACTCCTCTCTACAAATGTTTTGAAAAGTGCTCGGGATACTTCAGAAGCTGAAGTTGCCCTCAGGAAAGCAGGGTAGGCCAGAGGGACTCGTGGTTCTGTGCAGTCTGAGCCTTGCGGTGGCTGAGGCTGGCAGGCTGAGGGAGCTGGGAGTGTTCAGCCTAGGGAAGAGGAGGCTCTGGGGCACCTTATCCCTGCCTTCAGCGCCTGAAGGGACCTACAGGGAGGCTGGGGAGGGACTTTGTACAAGAGTGTCCAGCAACAGGACAAGGGGAGATGGATTTAAACTGAAGGAGAATGGGTTTAGATTGAGTCTTAGGAAGAAATTCTTCAGTCCGAGGGTGGCAAGACTGGAACAGATTGCCCGGAGAGGCTGGGGCTGCCCCCTCCCTGGAGATGCTCAAGGCCGGGTTGGATGAGACCGTGAGCAACCTGGTTAAGGGCATCCCTGCCCATGGCAAGAGGCTGGATTAGCTGATCTCTGAGGTCCCTTCCAACCTAAGATGTTCTGTGGTTCTATTCTATGATCATCCTCCTTTCAGCCTTCTCTTTCCTCAGCCCTTGGCTCTCTCTCCCCAGCTGCAGAGCAAGAGCTCTTCCCAACACTTGCTCAAGTTGGGATCTGTTTTACCAAGAGCTCTAACAGGAGGTAGTGCTGCGGGAATTCATGAGACAGCTCTACTCTTATTCTCTGGAAATGACTCGTAGGCAGGAGGAGCTCAGGTCAGGTGTGCAGTGTTCTGAGGGCGAACGGGCACCGGGGGTTTAGCTTTGCTCCGCGGGGTGCTCTTGAGAAGCAGAGTCCGCTTAACTGCACTTCCCTGCTCATCCTGGAGCAGCCTGGAAAGGCGCCAGATGGATTCTTTATAGATTAAAGCAGACAGCAGCGTGCCGTCTCGGCTGCCCGTGGGTGCCCGGTGAATCGCTCCGTCCCTCCCTGTGGAAGGTGGTGGACGGGCGGGATGGACACAGCTCTAAATATATACTTGAATATAGGAAATGATAGCCACAAAAAAGAATTCTCTTAATAATGGGCCATATCTGGACCATATCACTGGTCCTTTTTATTTTTCTTTTACCTGGGATTATTTTAAGGAGACAAGGTTTTGATAGCCCTATTCTATAGTTATACGTGAAGGAGACTCGAGTGCTTCTAACACTTTGGGAAATAGCAAGTTTTAAAAGAAGAAAGTTGCCAGGATTGCATATTCTGACGACTAACAATTAAAATGGGTAACTGTACGAGATTGTCGAATGATTGTGGTTCTGCAACGTTTCTTTTTACTCCACTTGAAAGTTACTTTGTTCTTGCTTTTAATTTTTTTTTGAAATGAGTAAATGCAGATTTCACCTACTGAAATCATGGTTATGTCCTACAAAATTCAACTGTTGAGCTAAAGACAAATTTGCATATGGCTGCCGCTTGTAGTGCCGCACTGATAGCAGAGAGAGGACAAACAGGAGCTTGGTTTGAGTTAAAATCCTGGGCTGAAAGCTTTTGATAAAGCTTGTAAGTTCTCCTGGCAGAAGGTGCTGCGTGCCTACACCAGTTGGAGAAGCGGTAGGATGTCTGGGATTTGTTTTTCAGTGCTACTCCTTTTATCAGGAACCCACTATCGTGTATTGTGATAAATGTACACAAAGAGTTAGGCAACTCACAAATAAGCAGTGGAACCAATTTAAACTCTGAAGCTTACCAAATAAACATTAAAGTATTCCCTTTAGGAACTCAGCATCCTTTGAATTATGCATGTATTGTAGTTTGCAGTAAGATAAAAGAATTTTAGGGGGGGAGGGTGAGAAACTTGAAAAGCCTCAAGGAATAATTTGCATAAATTGGGTGGAGAGAGTAAACAGCACAAGGGGAAAAAATGTTATTTTCGGTAAGGCCGTATAGAGTGAGATAAAACAAATGAAAGAAATCAGGTGGAGTTGAAACAAAGCTGAAGTGCTTTAAATTTGCCTTAGCACTGCCACGGCCTTTAAAGCAAATCCCAGGGAACTCTGTACTGCCCTGGATTAAAAAAAAAAAAAAAAGAAAAAAACCCACCCAACAACAAACTTAAAAAAAATAAATTCTTATGGGACAGTTAAAAGAGAAGAAAAGCCATGGAGACAGTACAACATGTGTGTCTGAGTGCATGCAAGACCTCTGGAACAGTGGTGTGTAAGCAGATTTTTAAAACCAAAATCTAACAGTATTTATTTTTTTTATTTCACAGTTACAGGACCGCACACAGTTTAGTGACCGAGACTTAGCTACCCTAAAGAAATACTGGGACAATGGCATGACCAGCCTGGGCTCAGTCTGCAGAGAGAAAATTGAAGCTGTGGCTGCAGAATTAAATGTTGACTGTGAAATAGTGCGGGTAAGAAATCGAGAGTCTTCCCTTATCTTGTCGCAGAAGCAAAAATAGGACAGTTGAAAGCCTTTAAAAATTTCATGAGGAAGCTTGAAATAGATTTCACGTATTACATAATGAATGACCATGTTGGGAAGTGCTCCCTTGCTCTTTCTGCAGTCTATTTATAGAAAACAGCCCTCAGGTAAGAGTCTGACTGATCAGCAGCAGAAGTTACACTACGAGCTGTTGGACATTCTCTTTAGACTTGAGTAAGATTTTAAGTAGAAGTGTTACTTTTTTTTTTTTAGGGCTATCCTAGAAGACCAAAGAGTGCTATTTATGCCGTTACTAAGATACAAAAAAGCCATTCTAACGATACAGGGAAAATATTTCTCATTGGTGCTTGCAGGATAGAATAATTGTTTTAAACATCCTGCTCAAACACAGGGAGAAAAAAGTATTTTGCAAGAGTGTCTTGAAGCCAGGTTGGGATGGGATAGAGGGCAAAGGGTGCTGCAGAGAATTCTGGGTCACTGCAGTTTGATAGTCCCTATAGGTGTTGTTGAGGAAAAATTGCTTTAGAAAGTTCAGAAATACCTGAGGATCATACAAAAAAATGCATGACAGTTTATTTTTTTTTTGTTATTATTAAGAACATAAAGATTTAATACATGAGGTCAAAGGCTACTGAGTAGGCTTAATGAGTCTGGTCACCTGCACTTCACAGGCATGTTTTGTGGAGGTAATATCTGAGGGATATAATTAGGATTATTAAGCTGGTTTCCGACATAGAAATACCGATCTGCTCCTACACTCATTGCACTGCTCCAGAATGTTCACTGCAGGATATGGAGCCCTATTAATTTTCTTTCCTGTTTTAATTTGAGACACTATAAAAATCTGTGCATCTTCTATGACATATTTGGGATGTTGGACAAAAGATTTTCAGCATTGGAAAGTGTATAAAAAGGCAATATCTACCTTTCCCAAATTGCTCAGGTTTTTTTGCTGATTTTCTTGCGGTAAAAAAGAAGCAGATTTGCTTTTAAATCTTATAATTATTAGCACTGTTCAATACCGTCATGAAATTCTGAGAAAATTTAAAGAGTGCCGATACACTGTGGTAAAGAGACACATAGGTCTGGAAGGGGCCATTTGTGTGATTTTTATTCCAAACACCACATAATATAGAAAATACCCAAGTAGCTCCCTGTGTACCTGCTTTGCATTCTTCAAAGAGGAAAATCACTATGCTGGGAAAGCAAATATCACTCAACAAAAATGATTTGCCAAAAATAGTGTAAAGCATGTCATCTTCTAGCTAGTTAGAGAGATTCTGCTTTAAATAATATTATTCATTTTTCCAGGCTGGCACAGCATGACCCTGTCTTTAGCAGCTGGGAGTGCTGTTAATATTTCTTAATCCCTCTATTTGATAATCAAGGTATTATAAGCAAAAAGTTTTTTACTGAACTGTTTCATGCCGTGTGTCAGAGCTGTGCTTAAAGGAAGTGTGAGGGGAAGAGGAGCAACGCAGGTTAAGGCCAGAGTAATGTTTAGCATTATCTTTAAAGGAAAAAAACCCAACAATATTAAAATATGTTTGTTAACTCTTTTTTTTGAAAGAGTGCGTTGGCTGTGCCACTTGTTACAGTAGGCTCCTACATACCTTGCTGCAAGCAATGTTTCTTAAAGGTTTGTCTTCCAACCAAAACGGACTGAAGGACAATGTTCTGAACTTAATTCTACCAAGTAATGCGCTCGCATCTGAGTGAGTGATACAGAGCTGTCACCTTGGGCAATTCCCTCTGCACCGTAGGAAATCCTAGAGCAGGTGGGCCATTCCGATCACTGCAAGTTGCAGAGTGGGAGAACGTGGGTCAGAGATCTTATGTTCACTTCGTTGAATAATTTAGGTGAGCAGAAACCTTGCAAGGTCTTTCTGTAGAGCAGGGTTCACTTCAGACTTAGGCCAGGTTTCTCGGGATGTTGTTCAGTAAAATGTTGAGTGCCTTCAAGACCTGAGTCTTTATCCAATTTAATTTAATTTATCCAATGGATAAATGGTGCTGATGCCTCACTGTAAAGCGTTATTTTGACTTTTTTTCTCAATTCCAGTCAGAGCTGCCCTTGCTGTGCCTTGAGGTTGTTGTTTTGCTGTGCACCTTCCCTTTTCCCGTGTTGTGGAGGGCTGGACCTGGACGTGGTGTTCTGGGAAGCAGCCTCACACGGGTCAAACACGGGGGGATAATCACCTCCCTTGAACTGCTGGCTGCGCTCTGTTCCTAGAGTACAGATGTGCCAATTTCACTTGGTTGTGGGCCTGTTGCTTTTGTTATAGTTTCTGATATCATTCTTGTTTATTTTTCTTCCAAGACTTGGATTGGGAATCGAAGACGGAAATATCGTTTAATGGGAATTGAGGTGCCACCCCCTAGAGGAGGTCCTGCTGATTTCTCTGATCAATCTGAATTTGTCTCTAAATCAGCACTTAACCCGGGAGAGGAAGCTGCTGCTGAAGTGGGGGATGAGAATGATCGGAATGATGAAGTATCAATCTGCTTATCTGAAGGAAGCTCACAAGGTATTTGGAAATTACTACTGTGTGTGTGTGTTATTAATTTTGTGCAGTGTGCGTGCTTTGGGTTCTCTGTTGTACACATGCAGAAGTGTCCCGAAGGGTGTCTGACAGTCACAAATTAGCTGCCTCGGCTATGTTGAAGGTACAATTTGGTCTCTTTCTTTTACCTCTCTCTCTGTATGAATGTTGCTGTGTTTTTATGACAAAGTTTGTTGTGAGACCTCCGTTTCTGTGAGATTCGTCCCAAGCTAAGTGACAAGTTCACAATTTGCTGCTGCAGCTGAGAGATGAGCAGGCAGCACACGCGTTTAAATCTCGCTTCCCTAGGAAACCAGGTATTAAAAACTGCTCTCTGTTAACCGGCCAGCCTGAATACCCTTTCCTGTCAGCCTGAATCACACCAAACCCAACAGGCACTAAGTGTGGAAACCTGCTCGCACGGAGCTGCCCGGAGCTGTGCGCCTACGGTTTTCCTGACGTTAAGTCCACGCTGGTCAGACGCTTTCGGAAGACAGATTAGCTCAGGCTTGGTCTTGAGCTGAAGGAGCGTCCCGGTCCGTCAGGGCCCAGCAGAACTGCTGCTGTGAAGCTGTCTGCGGCGCCAGCACGCGCTCTGCCCAGCAAATACGCACCAGCAGAGAAGATCGAAGTCGGGAGCAGGGCACTGCTCGGAAGGCTGAGAACCGCGCACGCGGGGAGCTCCGTGTTCTTGGCAAACAGCGTGATCTGGAGTGATAAAGTATCTCCAACTCAATTCCCTTTTCCTCCACCTCTCAGGACTGCCTGACTGTGTTGAATCGATCTCTCCCTTCCCTCGTGTCCATCAGCACGCGGGGCCCGAGGCGAGTGGGCTGCCGCTGCGCGTGTTCCCCGGCTCCCCCAGCTCAGCTAATTGCTCCCAGTGCTTCTGATTAGAAGGATCAATAAAAAAAGCAAACCTGATCTGGTGCACGCTACTGCAGCTTAACGTGCCAGGCTTGATCTTGGCGTTTTGTCTGAACAGTTTAAAAGGAAAGAACTGGAGAAATAGAGAACTGCTGGGAAGGAATTTGTGATAGCTTTGTCATTTTCCACGGAAAGAGAATAAGACGATCAAGAAGTGGGTCAAGTGATTGAAAGCCAAGCGAGATGCAGAATCTAACAGCCCTTGATTTGCCTGAGGTGTGGAAGGAACCGATGGCGTCAGATCTGCTTGAAAGAAAATGGTGACAGGGGAAGAGTCTGAATTCTCTGTAGGTTAAAGTGAGAACTAACGCATTTCTCACGTGAGGCTTTCATAAAACAAGACAAGGCTGTAAGACTGGGAGTAGGTTATTAGAATCAAAGCTTAAGAAATTGCAAGAAAACTCCAGGATTTCCACAGCACCCAGGAATCCCACTTTCGTTCCTTTATTCTACCACCAGAATTATTTTCTATTCATTTCTCCAGTTCAAAGGAGCAGGTTTCACTGCTGCAGCTCAGCTTATTTTGAACTTCCTGGACCATATTGCTACCGATAATCACGTGTGCTATTCAGTCACACGTGTATGATTTGTTTTAATGTCTGAGAACAATAATTTTTAGTCCCTGATTTATGGTAGAAAACACAAACAAAATAAAAAAACCCTTATCTCAAAGACTGGAAAAAGATAATTTTAGTCACCTAATTAAAATGTAGTTTTGAAATATTTAAAAAAAAAAAGCTGTGCTCTGATGCAAAATTAAGCATTAAAGTTTGAGAAAATTTGAGAAACATCCCTGATGAGTAGGATTATCTTACTTGTTTTTTTCATGTTGGTCACAGTTAGGGCTGTTCGAGTCATCCAGTGCTTGTGGTTGTAATTTAAGGGTAAGATTTGCTCTGCTTTCAAGTGTGGCCTTTGCTTATACAGAAGAGAGCAGCTTAGGTTCACTGGGAATAAACATTTGCCATCCAAGAATGCAATAATCTGTGTGATCAGTTTTTGGTTCAAAAGTAATCAGTGGCTGCAGGGAGGAGGTGGGATTCTGATACGTATCCTGTAATTTCAGGGCACGCAGGATTTTTCGCATAGTAATTCATTTTACGTGTTTGTTTTTTTTTAAAAAAAGTTCCACACATCTCTGATGTGAAACTATTCTTTGCTTTTGAGTATTCCAAAGTGAACCTAAAAGCCAGGTACGTTGCAGGAGAGTAACTCGTAGTTTTCCTGGTGTTTCAGGTAGTGATTGGCGTGGTGTTGTCCTGACTTACTGGTGAAATGTCTTTTTTTACTAAGACATACAGTGTTTTTTTATGAATAGACACTGATGGCCTGACTTCGCTTTTGTATCTAGCAGATGGGCCATATTTAGTGGTAAACACTAATAATGTTCCTTCAGCATAAGATTTGGAAGTAATGTGAAAAACTGGTTTATTTCTGCAGAAGAGACAAATGAAGCTCTTCAAAATGAAGAAATCGGTCACAAAGATGATGACCAGAATCCTGTATCTGCTGATAATGTGGTACGTCCACCTTTCCTTTTCCACTGGCGTGACCCCCAGAACTGCCAACACTGAGGTTGTTGTCCAGCACGAGGGTGTTTCACTGGGTGAAAATTTCAGCTGAGCGTGCTGAGAGTCCTTCCTAGTTGGTTGAGCGCCAAAAGGATCCGTACTAGGAGTACTAAGGCACAGAGCTGTGCACGTTCGGTAGCAGTCGGGCTTTTTCTGTTCCTCTTCTGGAGTGCAAAGCACAACGCGCGGGCACTGCTCTCTAAGTACCTAGCACAGTAAAAGAGTAAGAACAAAAAACATAGAAGAATAACTGAAAATGGCTTTTAGAACGTCAGGTAGCTCTCGTGCTTCCTGTCCCCGACTAACCTTGGATGTGTGAGATCAGACCAGGGCGGGTTTGCGCTCTGCGCCCCCATACCCTGGGCAGGGCATCACTTGGGTGTTTCTTGTTTTCTCACATCGAGTCAAACACCGTTGTTCTTGCTGGTTATAATCACCAGCAGTGAGACAAGGAAGGAAAGAAAGAGGGAGGAGTCAGGGCAAATAATGCAGTATATCCCCTTTGCTTAGCCTGCCTGCTCTCCAATTAGAAGAAAGGAGAGGAGGAAGAGGAGAGGAGACCCCAAGTGGCAGAGTAATCTTTATCTTCAGAGTTACGTGCAGAATGAACAGGGGGTGGTTCCAGTTCCCAGACGCAGTCAGAGATTAAACCGTAGCTCAGAACGTGACAGCAACGGTTGTTTTACACTAACCACACAGAACCTGAAGCGGGAAAGCAAACAGGAGATTCCCTTCCCTCTCTGTATATAGACGAGAGAACCTTTTCTTTCGTTTGTTAATACCTGAGCATCTTTCGCATAAACTGAAGTCCCGCGGCTGTATTTTCTGTGGCTGCCTGAACTGAAACAGCTGCCTTCTCCCTTGCTGTTTACTTCACCGGCCTGCTGTGACCTTACCGATAATTGCCCGGAGTTTCAGGCTGATGCGTTTGCCATGGAGATGCAGAATGTAAAATGACAGAGGTAAAAAGGTTTGCAAAGATGTTGTCCGAGAGACTCGATTCTCCAGTCTGCCTGAACTCCAGCATTATCGAATCTGATGTAATAAGGGGGAGAAAAAGAGCAATAGGTTTTTCATACTGTGTTCTGAAAACACTGTAACAGAATTTTTAAAATATACACAGTTAAAATGAGACTAAAATACATTGGACTTGCATGAGAGAGGCAGTTTCCTGATTTGAAATTCTAATCTGTTCTTTCCCCTGCTATCTTAAAATGTATTATTATAAGATAGTGTGAATGTTTGGCATTTATTTAGAGACTCTTTCCTCAAGCTGAGTTTAAAACCAAAAATATTTGAATCACAGTGTTACTCAGGCTATGATATAGCAGCAGATCTTTGTCACATGAAGCTTTTAAAACGTTATCACTTCAGCTGGGTTGTCAGACACCGAAGCACAGAAAATGTGATTTTACCCTCCCTACCTTCAACACATACTTGTGAGCTTGGTGGGTGCTCCTAGTGAGAGTCTGTTAACCTCTCGTGAAGGATTTCTCCTCGGCGATTAGAAGGAAATTTCCGTCGGCCGCTTTGCAGGCAGACGGGAGACACACACACGTGGTGCCCAGAAGAAACCTCCTCTAAAATAACACCTCGAGAACTAACCTTCAAGGCGTGTTCTGTCCCTGCAGGCCCTTGCCTGCACTACAAAAGCACAGTAAAGTTGTCTTAATTTAGTGCATGCAGTCTAATAAATGTCTACAGCCGTCAAAATAATGAAAAGTAGTAAAACCCACCCAACTCCTCATACTTGTGCTGCTTCCCTCTCGAAAATGTAGTGAGATTTGCAGTTTTGGCTGGAGTGCTTGTTGAAAACGCCGTTCTTACCAAGTCCATTCTGTCTGAGATCTAGCTTAGGTATGAATAAAAGTTAAAAACTCTAAAATGCACTAAAAAGGAGTATTTTTTGGTTTCTTCTATTGAAATAACCTCTTCACATCATTTACTTACTGAGAAACGTTTTCCTTTTGGAAGGAAAATGGAGCATGCAAGGAATAAGTAATGCACAAGGGAATCTTTTAAAGCTTTGGATAGGATTGGGATTTATTTCTGTGTTCTAAACAGCATTAAGCTCAGGCTTTCAGGCAGCACTTCAGGCACCTTCAGAATCCCAAGATAAAAAACTACAGAGAATTTTTGTGAATGAGGCGAAAGTGTCCCCGTCTCTGAATTTGCAGCTGCACTTCGCGTCAGCCTCCTGTGCTGTTCAGGGCCTTTGACTTGCACTGTGGCCAAAGGAGACCTCTTCCATTTTTTAGGCAAGAAGTAGGTCACTCAGGACTCACCTGCCACTTTGCCATAACGTCTTTTTTGCTCCAGAGGAATAAACTTTCGTGACCTTTGCTCTGCAGGAGGTCTTCAACAAAAGGCTGGCGGAATAAAATAGGCTGTAAGGAGATGGAACGCGCGACTTCGCGCTGAAATCGTGGTGACGCTGAGCTCCTCCTCTGTAAACAGCCCGAGTCACCGCGGCGGCAGCTCCAGTTTCAGTTGGGATTGTTCCTGGAGCTGGTGGCTGAGGTGCAGGATTGCCACCTAATGGGGGCTGCACAAGGCAGAATCTCTTTGGAGCGAGCTCTAGGTCCCCGTTGCCGTCGTCCTGCCGGGCTGGTTGTCATTTGTTCGTTTGCCCTAACCTCTGTATTCGAAAATTTGGAATGAACCCTTTTCCTTCCGTTTCAGAAAATAGAAATTATAGACGATGAAGAAAGCGATATGATAAGTAATTCTGAAGTGGACCAGATGAGTTCTCTTTTGGATTACAAGGTGAGAGACTGGGCTGCGGAACGTGCAGTGGGATGGTCCGCAGGCCGTTCGCGCGGGGGTGTCTGTGAGGAATTCGGCAACGGCACAGGCGAGCCTGCAGCTCCTCCACTTCTGTTGCGATGTGGCACATCACACCCTCCATCGCATCTCCTCGCCCCAAGTACAGCTGGATTTACCCACATTTCAAGCCAGAGGGAGGCAGGAAAAGTCCTGTTTCTGCAGAGCAGTTACATCACTTTTGCTGTAGCCATCTGCAGCTTCCACCGCGCGTCCCAAAAACAGCAACTGACTTGGCCTCTAAACCAAAACTTCCTTTCTCTGTGTAGCTGCTTTTCCTTTTGATTTTTTCTTTTTGCTTAGAAAACAGGTACGCTCCACTTACGATAATCGATGACCAAAATAATAAACAGATCACCTTTTCAGAACAGAAAATGACTCCTTCCAGCAGCGTTTTCCTGGTGAGGGCAGTGGAGAATGAACGCAGCGAGGGAGTGACCTTTTCTTAATGTCACCTGTCACGCAGCGCGAGGCTGGTTGTGACAGCGTGCCCTGCAGAGCCCTGTCTGTTGGTTTGTTGTTTGACACCAGCCATTAGTCTTTGTGCCTGGCTGTTCTCGGCGTAAACCTCAATTCCTCCTTTTGCTGGGCAGAATCTAAACAGGCGACTTCCCAGGTTCCATCTGAAAGAAACGCATTCAGCGAATTTTCCTGGGACAGCCTCAAAATAGGAGCCAAATTCTTCCGCTCTTACTCTCAGAGCTGTTACAACCTGAAGCAGCGATGTTTTGACTTTTTAGGGGAGGGGGCGGAACAAACCAAACCAGCAACTGTTTTTAAGCACTCATAACAAACCTTCCAGTTCATCACGTAGCCTCATCTTTTCGTATCAACTTCACCTGAATTATCTGTGAACCTCAGTACTTACTTTCTGTGGGTGCTGGGCACTGCTAACGGTTCGGACGTGCGTACTTTCTCCCTTGTTCCCTTATGGGGGATGATGCACATCTGGTGCTGTTACATCAACACCTTTTGCAAAAAGGCACAGAGACTTTGATCTTGAGAAACGAGCTGTTTATTAGGCTGCGTGATCTTTACAAAGGTAAATAAGCAGAGAAAATTAATTTTAGCTCTGTGCTGATCAACAGAGTGAGCGTTTTCATCTTGCATACCAATCACTTGGTAAGTTGGAAGGAGTTATTGGGAATAAACTAAAGTACTTAGCAAATCTGATTTTTGATTAAGTTTGATATTTTTATATTAAGTGATTTGCAAATATGGTAACACAGATTTACGCAAAGGTTGGAAAAATGCTTTTTGAGCAACACCATGCGCATTACTGGTATTTCTCCACTTTGTAAATACATTCCTATTTATTCTGTAACCCAGGAAATCTGGGGGAGGTTGGGGAGCTGTGACACTTGATGATACGTGACAAGCTCGGCTGCGCTAGAGGATGCTCTGTCCAAATTTGCGGTAGCCTTGAGGAATCTTCAAGTTATTTGCCCTGGTCTTTGTGTCAAGCCTCCTGCTGCAATAACGGAATTTAGTTGCTCTGTCTTCTCACGGGCACCCTGTTTTTCTTTATTTTAAAATGGAATTAGAAGTCATCCTTACAAAATCAAAAACTTTCGCCCAAGTCGTTAATGCTTTAACACGATGGGTAAATCTGAAATGTCACATCACCGGGGGGGATAAGAGGACTGAAATCCCTGTTTGCAGGGTTAGTGACACCACAGAAACTTCTGTTTGCATCCAAACTCCACGTGCGTTGTTTTACAATTCTGTCCCCACAAAACTTTTGGCTGTAGTTGGGAGGAGTCACAATAAGCACGTTTTTTGCTCATTTTCACTAAAATCGTTTAGTTTTGACGCAGGCGGGTTTAGATGTCGTTAAGACGATGCAGTGCTGTTGGTTATTTCCAGAACTTCATGTAATTTCCCCCGCCCCCAGAATGAAGAAGTCAGATTCATTGAGACTGAGTTGGAGAATCACAAACAGAAGTATTTTGAGCTACAGACGTTTACTCGGAGTTTGATACTTGCTATTAAATCAGATGATAAAGAACAGCAGCAGGTAAGTCTTAAAGTCGGTTTTAGCAGGGGAAGGCGTTTGGTATTTTGTATTCTCTCCCTCCCTTGGTTTTATTCCGTAGCGCCCAGAGGCTCAAATTATGATCAGGGCAGCGTCGTGCTGAACATCCTATTTAGGAAGAGATTTTATTGCTTTTATTTTTTTCCTTTTGCTTTTAAGATACATCATCTTGGACAATATTTTACCTTTCAATATCTGTCAGTACTGACCTGTTTTATTTTTTTTCTTTTTTTACCAGTCTAATACCAACACTGACTGAAAAGCTCAACGGATTTTTTTTCACTGTATGTTGCAAAGACAATGCTGACATAAAGCATGTGCCTAATGCTATATCGTAATTTATTTATTTTTACTTACAGGCACTGCTTTCAGACTTACCTCCTGAATTAGAAGAAATGGATTTCAATCATGCATCACCAGAGCCTGATGATACCTCATTCAGCTTGTCGTCTTTGTCGGAGAAAAATGCCTCGGACAGTTTGTGATTTCTCTTTCGCAATGACAAAAAGGAAACCCCGCGTAACGTGCCGGTCTCAGGAGCACGGCGTTTGGCCAGGCGGCGTTTGTCAGTCCGAAACGAGAAAGCCCAAGGTGGAGCCGACTTGGCTGAAGGACGACCGTAGGATGTCCTGGCTGCAGCATGTGCTGTCGAGAAATTTCAAACGTTGGGGTTTGGGAAATGAAAGAACTGTCTGAGGGAAGGTTTTGCTTTTAGCGGGCTGGCCTTGAACCCGATAACTCCTGACTTTCCAGAATAACTCTTGCTCTGTAGCAAAGTCTTTTTGAGCAGGGATCCAAGAATGGAAAACAAATGTCCTGTTAGACACACACCTAATTCTTCAGAGTTGCTTGCTCACCAGTCCTGTTTATTATTTTTGTCCCTGTTTTTACTCAGGTAGGTGGACTAAAAATCGAAGATCTGAACAGAATAATGAGCTTTTTATGAGCTGTGGTTGAGCCCTTTTGAAAATCTGAAAATAAACTAAAGTGGTTTTCAGTATGTGACTTCACATCATGGAATCTTCCGTTTTCTGACCAAAATAGCTGAAAAGAAAATTTGAAAGGCTAACTGAAAAATTGGAATCATCGTCAATAAATTATTCATGTGAAGAAGGAGTCACACGCGTTGTAACAAGTGAGATGGAGATGGGAAACTTGATAGCTGGAGATGGGAAACTTGATAGCTGGAGAACGCGACTCTGCTCTCACAGTAGCGATGGGATTAGATGTTTACACTAATACTTCGGGGTTTACGAATGTAGTTACAGTTTTTATTTGTCGAAGGCTGAGTGCTGAAGTTCTCTTTGTTTTCAGTGTTGGTTGTGTATTCCACAAATTTTGCTCCATTTTATCAAGACACCGTCATAAATCCACAGCTGCTGTTGCATCCTGGAAGGTACCAAGTCTTTGGAAGTGAGTGTTGCAGATTTTCTAAATGTCACCTGGTTTTGAAGTAGCCCCATCTGACCGATTTCTGGGGCAGCTGCCAGGTGCCAGTTTCTAAACTGTGACCTTGCTCGCAGGGCAGTCGGTGGCTGAAGTGAATTTCTTCTTTCTGAGCTGCTGTTGACATCGGATCCCTTTACTCAGTCGATGAAGTGGGTGTGCACACACGTTGGAGTAGATCTAGTGGGGCGTGTAGGCGCCTGCCAGTATTACTGATGCTCTCTAACTTCTAATCTGAATAGTCCTTGGCAAGTGTTCTTGAAACGGATCACAGCTGGGTAAAAAGCCTGATCTTTCAGTTTTATGCCAAATAATAATTTACTCCGGTGAATCCTTATTCGTGTAGTACAGCAAGTAATCCCCTTAATTTCAGTGGGAGGTCCACGGTGTAGCTCAGAAAATCCAGAATGTTGGGGAAATAGCACCTTTTTTTTTTTTAATACTGGGATTAACTCATGATTTTAGGTTTTTCTCGGTCTACTCTGTTCTTCCTTATTCAGTTTACAGCTTTATTTCTTTTTTCCGTGCTCTCCTCTTCCAGAGTTTCTCTTTCTGTGTGTTGTCCTTGGGCACGGGGAACTTGCAGCAATACCGTTACCGCGCTGGCCGCAGAAAGGACAGGAGCGGTTTTAAAAGCTTTTTAAAAAATCCAAGCTAGTTTCACACTTCCAACTACTCTACAATTTGGTCAGTGCCCAAAAGACCTCTTTATCTTCTCTTCTACAGAGTAACCGCGCAGCAGCGCGCCGCGGAGCCCGTGTTTGAGTCTAGGCGTTACAACTTGGAGGGAGATCCCGGGAGAGGGCGAGTGCGCTGGGGGTAACTGGGAGGTCAGCGGGAGGTTACTCATCCTTTCGCTCCCTGAGCTGAAACCTCTCACCCTGGCCAGCAGACACGTCCCTACTCAGAGGAGGAGCTGTATTTTAGGTGTTGAAATTAAGGTTTGTGAGCACAGATCACAGTGCTGTCCTTCAGATGTAAGACAGAGCTCAACTGTGGTTCCGCTTGCCCTGGAAAAAGTAATTTATAAAAGGTTTTCTATACTGGGCTAACAATGCTTTCTCTTACGGTTCTTTCTAAATAGGAAGTTTGTGCTACTGACAACGAAAGCTCTTGTTTTCTGTGAGCTTTGCTCAAATAATAAAAATAGCGCTGTGACTTGCCACTATTTGGACCCTATTTTCCTGCTTCTTCCACTTAAAATGCGATGACAAAAGGCAGGATGGTCGTAGTGAGAATTCTCGATTTCACGATTGGTTAAGTCATCCACCTTTACATGAGGAAAAGCTTCACTGATGATTCTTATTTTGCTACGTCTTGCTGCCATTCCGTACGCCAGACAAATGGAAGGCGTTAATGTGGAATGGACTGCTGCCAGACTCGGGCGGTTGTGTAAGAGCCTTTTCACGAGGGAGCTGGGACCCTCTTTAGGCCGTGCGGCAGAAGCGCGAGCTGCCCTCAGCGCTCATGTCATCCCTCCGAGCGTGTTGTTCTTGGGTCCTTTTCTCTTGTCGGGTGACAAGGCAAGACGCAGCGAAGCAGTCGTGTGTCCATGCTCTGAAACACTTTTATTACAGGAGAAAAGAGTACAAAATACATTCCTGCGTAACTAAATGCTCTATAGGGTGATACCCTGCAGGTGTTCTGTGGGTTTTTTTATCCCCACTATGGATGTGGATTTCCTGCCAAGTGTAAAACAAAACTTTTAAGGATGTATCACTGTTACAGGTATTTAGTTCTGCAGCGCAGCGGCTGAAGAGCAGCTCGTGAGGTCCCGTAGTGTAACCGTTAACCCTCCTGGCGAGCGGCGAGAGGACGCCTCTGAGCATCGCGCTTCAGACTAGCGCCGTGCACGTGCTGTGCGATTTAGGGGGGATTGGTTTTTTTGGCTTGCTTGTGTCCCTGGCAGGCAAAGCGATGGGGTAATCGAGCGGGCAGATTGTGTCCTGATGTGTGTAACTTGTTAAGCTGGACCTTAGAGCGGTAGGAGAGAGTTGGGTGTCTTCCTTTCCACCTTGATCTTAGTAACTACTGACAAGCGTCTTACCGACAGGCATCACGTGCTGGTACGTGGGTTCTGGGACCCTCGTTTCCAGAGGAAATTCTGACAATTCTTCAGGTGATGCAGAGCGATGGGGATGGCTCTCTGGGCCCACGGCACGTTGGGATTTGGTTCATGGTTATTTCCCTGTTCATGGGATGATAACGCAAGCCTGCGTGCGGTGCTAGTTCCTCATTTGCCAAAACCTCCCGAGGCAGGTCAAGCTGGCACCGTGTCGCGTTACGGTGACGGGGCCGAGCTGCCGTTGGCGTTTCGGTGCTCTGGCGCTGCGATTCCAAAAACCGCTTCGGCCGAGCCTTGCTGTCCTCATCCTCTGGCGGCGACAGCTCTCATTTGCTTTGTCCGTGAAAGATGACTTCCCTGACGTTGTTTGTTCCTGATGTGTCTTTCCGAAGATGCCAAAGTGGGAAGAAGGTAGCTGAGAACAGATGCTTTAAACCGGAGATGGGACGCTCGCTCTCCGGGAGGAGCGGTGGGAGGCTGCGAGCGTGGCTAGCACAGCT